ACAGTAGAGTGTCTATGCTGCTCCAATTGGGATTGAGCCCTGAACTTTAGTATCATAAACCCTCAAGTTTACTTCTGACCCACCAGAGCACTTCTAAGTAACAATTGGGTATACTGTGATATAGTTAGAAAACAGAAGTTGTCAACACTTTTGACTAATACTCTCTGTGTTTTGCATAAATAAAAATTTCATTTAAATGGATTTAGAAAATACTTTTTATAAGAACTAGTACATATGATTGTTGAGTTAGGATACTTTTTCAGTGATATATAACACTTCTGTTGATTATAACAATGCAAAGTAATGGTCCAAATGATGAACTTTGAAATATATTACCTTATGGTTTCCAGATTTAAAAGGAATATAATCAACTGTGAAGGTGTTGTCTCCATTGTCAAGATCTTTATGAGGTAACAGATTACTTCGATCATCACTTATTTCCACTTGAAGGTTTCCTGGAATGATAGATGTGCTAAACATTAAGCAATGTTACACAAACACTGAGCACCTGAAAATTTATAATCAATTAAACATCAAACAATCATAAATACACATCCTCTATGTGAAAATTTATAAAAATAAAATCTGATAAGATCATGTATTATCTTTCAATCAGATTACAAATATTTCACAAGGAGGAGATTGTACTTTTAAACCAGTTCACAACTAATTCAACATATATTAAGTCAAGCACTTAAACCATCTCACAAATAACACAACATACAGTAAGTCATGCTTTTAAAACATAAAACTAATTCAACAGACAAATGATACAGCAAATCCTGCTTTAAAATAAAAAACAACTAACACAACATACAGTAAGTCATGTTTTTAAACCACTTCCCAACTAGTGTAATGTATAGCAACTCATATATTTAAACACTCTCACAACTAGCACAACATAAAGAAAGTCATGTTTTTAAACAATAAAACAACTGTCATAACATACTGTAAGTCATGCTTTTAAACCATAAAACAACTGTCACAACATACTGCAAGTCATGTATTTAAATCAGCTCACAACTAATGCAATATATTGATAATACAGTAAGTCATGCTTTTAAACCATAAAACAACTGTCACAACATACTGTAAGTCATGCTTTTAAGCTAGCTCACAACTGACAACACATAGTATGTCATGCTTTTAAAAATAGCTCAAAACATACAGCAGATCTTGCTCTTAAACTACTTCACCAGTAACAAAATAGAGAAGACCCAAAAGCAATCCATGATCTTTACTTTTTCTGAATTTCTATGCTGTTTTAAATCACAAAATATTTAACACAAATTAAGATATTCTGTGTATGTGTGTTTTTTTACAAGTGTGTAAAAGTACTAACAATTGGAGGTCTTGGGAAATTATACAACAATATAAATCTCTGACAAAAGAATATTTACAATCTAGATGTACCATGGCATTACCATAAAACTAAGTCCATATTAAAACAGGTAAGTGAGTGCACCCTAGTGTTACCATATAATTATACATTTACATTAAAACAGATAATCTAGGTGCACCATAGTTTTACCATATAACTGTCTGTACATTTACATTAAAATATGTAATCTAAGTGCAAAATATGTTACCATATACAGTGAAATATGTATTCTGGGTGCACCACAACTTTATTACAAACTGTATATTTACACTGAAATATTTAATTTAGATGCAACATAGGTTTATGATACAACTGTATGTTTACATTAAAATAGGTAATCTAGGTGAACAATAGCTTTACTGTAAAATTGAAAATCTATATTACAATATGTAATCCAAGTCTACCATACCTTTACCACAACCTCTTGCATCTACGTTAAAATGTGTAGGAGTTTCAGCTGTGACACCACTTTCAATCCCAGGGCCAAACACTTGGACTTTGGAAGAGTCTGTTGGTTCAGAAACCATAACCTAAAAAACATGTTTCATAAATCAACAATGTTGTGTGATGGCAAACATTGTATGGTATTTTGTTAAGTAAATTACATAGTTCACACACATACTCAATACAGTCATAATTATTTGTACATTTTTCATCATTATAATAACCAGTAGATGGATACAGTTAAAATGCACATGAATCGAACATTACAGAGGAATCCTCACTTACTCTATATGGACTGCCAGGAATAGCTACACCTCCAAAGGTAACTTCCACGGTGTGTTTGTTGTTTTCCTTTGGACAGTAATTACAGTGGTAAGTACCATCCTTGTTATCTTGAATGTTCAAGTCAACTGGATTGTATTTTTCATCAATAACATTCACACAAAGTGGGGCAGGACCTCCTGCTCTACGTGTATCTACGGTAAACTCCACTGGTCTCTTCTGTACTACACCATTTTTATCAATTCCTGGGCCATAAGCTTCCACCTAAGTGTTTAAAAATGTTTAACTTTTACTTGGAAACTCACCTTGAGACACCAATATAATCTGGTGAAGAACTATATACACATCCTGAAACTATACACTATCAAAACAATAACAAGAGGTAAATATGCATATATACACACACTAATTTTTAATAATATCGGACTAATACTTCAAAAGCTTTTTACCCTTACTAGGTTTCTCTAAATCAGCAACCAAGATTAGTTAGTTTTCTATGTTCCTTTTTAATGTCCATTTAACAGTTTAGAAGACTTGAGAAGTTTCATATTATATGTATATAGAGACTGAGTAAGTTATATTAAAATGATTTTGGAGTTTCACAATGTCATTAGAGTTCATGTCACTATGTCTGGTCATGCTCTATCTGATGAGCTTGATTTGGACAAAAAGACCTGTAGTATAGTTTCTATTTCAAATTACTCTCTCATTAGATTTTCATATCCAAAGTACAACTCTTCTCACTGATGTTTTCCATGATCTGTGTTAGAAGATGATGATTCCCCAGTTCTGTTTTAACAGCCCAACCACACAGAAATCCATAGCCACTGAATCAATGTGTACTTATATGGAACAGCATGACCATCCATTTCATTCTTCAGCTGCTTGAGGTATATGTCAGGTTGAAAAGATATGTTGTAGAAGAAACTTTTGTACGTGTAACTTGTGTCACTTTTACAGATTGTGATCCTTCTTGATTATGTATCTTACTGTTGCCTAGGTCACATTGATGGCTTTTTCCAATGGCCTTTGTGTTCATAGATCTTACTTGTTACAAGACATTATACTTTGCCTGCCACATCTGGAATAAAATTTGTTGCAGGTCTCTTTATAGATGATTCTGTTGGTCCAAGTTGATTCGAATTCCTTTGTTTTCCAATACCATTAAGTAAAAGGTATATCCTTGTATTTGAAATTCTAAATCCCCAATCTGAACATATCTTTATGATCTGAATGTATGAATATTTTGCATTAGAAATGGCTCTTGCATACCCTACCAAAATCAATGAGCTTTTGGTGACATCACACTACCTAAGAAATGTCAAACAACATCAAAATGTAGTTCTGATACATTCTGTTCTGAAAAGCCAAAAGGCCTAAACACTAAACATGTGACACGGGTCATGAATGATCTGTAAAGGTAAAGAAAGAGACAAATCACAGATTAGTAGTGCCACAATGTGTGCAAAATGAGAAACTGTTGTAAATTAATAAATTTGGCAGTATAAAAGATTAAAAAAATCATCTCTGCAATAAACCTACAGTGACTTCTATGTCCAATGTATCCACATGCAAGCAGTTAAGTTGAATGACAATGTACTCTCCATAACTTTGGATGTTTTAAAATGACTAGAATACACACAGTGTTTTTCACCATCAAGAATATTTAGCACTACTGCTTAAAAATTCATCACAAATGGAGTCTTGAAGACTGATCACACATTTCAATGAATAATCAGTTACTTCACCCAGTTCTGAAGTAAGGTTAAATACTTGTCAGGATGCAAGCAGGTGAAATATTTGATAACGTTTGTGTCATGCCACCATTAAAGCTTTGTGATGAGTGAGTTATGGTGTTGACTGCATTCTACACATTGAGTATCGAGCCTAACTGTAAAGATTCTGCATGTTTAAAGATCTACTGATATCAAAGGGTCTTACATGAACATAATTCAGGATCTGTATTAGTATCCCCCCCCCCCCATCACCAAACAAATGAGACATCCAAGCAGGATAAGCTCCTTTACACAAAACTTGTATATCTATGCCTGGTTTTAGAGTAACAATAACAATGTATTGGAAAGGTCTACTGAAAACTCAAATCTCAACTCTATACCACAACTCTGGTATCATTTGAAGAAGTGATTTCAATGGATTTGACCACAGCCTTCTAATCATCATCAACTGTCTGAAAAAAGGGAGATACTACTGTGTTTGAAAAGAGTGATAACTAGGACCAATCCTGTAAATGTTTGTTTGTGTGTTATCCAGTTACCTCACAATCCTACTAGATAATAAAAACTAACACAAATATCTCAACCTCATATTAAGAATAAACCAACAATGTACAACTTAATACTTACAGATAAAGAAATACTGAAGTCAAAGTTGAAAAAGCTTATTTCTTTTCTTTTTGTGAAAAAGTTGTCATAATAAATTATAATATAATGTTACACATAGTGGCAGAAAGCTGATAATATATATATATCCACGGAAACAAAAACTTCATATTTCTTCCTTATTATCATGCAATACAATCATAACAACTTGACAATTTTTTGTATAAGACTAAAGAGGATAAACATTACTTCACAGAAATGGAAAATGAAGAATCATATGAAACAATTTAATATTTAATAAAATCATAGTTCATCAAGAGATTAAAAAATAATGATAAAAGAAACAAAAAATATCTTTAGTAATAAACTTGTATTCAACACTGTTAAAAGTTTCAATTAGTGAAGTCTCAGAGGCTAAATAACTCCTTGGACCTGGCTGTTTTTTCCCCCCCACATTTAATTCTTTACAATAGCAACAAAATTTTACATTTTTAAGAGATATAAATTTTAAGTAGGTACTTATCTCTGAAATACAAAAAGCCTTTCATTATTGAGTTGTTCTCATGCAGTCAACAATAATTTAACAAATTCTGAATGTCCTTGACAAAATGCAGAGCATACGTCACCAAATCCATAGTATTCCACTCTCTCATCTTCCACATGACTTATCACACTTTCATCCAGATTTTTTAGTTGCAGTCATAATAGAAAACATATATTCTATTTGTGGGGAGGTGTGTGGGAATGTATTTCAGTAGTTAGCACTTATTTGAAATTCCTTTAATTCTAAAAAATGTAAACTAAAAAAAGGCAGACTTACCTCTGAAACATGAAAAGCCAGAATACCCACATTGAGATGGAATAAAATAAAACTGTAGAGTCATATAAGGACCACTGGGTCACCAAATTATGTGGTCTTAAGCAAGAAGGTAACAATCCATAACACAGCAATTGAAAATGTGATTAAGCTGAGTTGAAAAGAACCTGAACTGAGTAGATTCAATAGACTGGATTCATAGGAAAATAGATGGAGCAGACCAGCTTCGTAAGATATTGGACCAAATGAGGACACTCAGAAAACGTGTTCTTCCAAGTAGGTTGCCTTGTTCCTATAGTGAAAGATCTAGGAGGAGTAGGCCAGAAATAAGTAATACCTGGATATGCCTCTTATATGCACATCTGACAAGGTCAATCAAGTCACAAAATTGGCTCAGTCACTGGGCACACAGGGATAATCAAAAAGACTCAAGCAAATAAAAAAAAAACAGGCTTGAAAGCTGTAGGGTGGTGCAGTGGGAAAACAAAATAGGTTAATAAAGATAAAAAATAAAACACTAAGATGTTCCTCATCCTGGTTAGAGCTTCAAATCATCATATGAAAAATGGTCATCCCATTGCAAGATATCCTGCAAAGATAAATGATTTAATAAAGAAGCCTTTTTAAGGTCATCTGAAAAGTTGGGGGGGGGGGGAGCGAGATAACAAGTACCTCGTAACAAAGCATGATGAAGGAAGCTGTGAAAGGAAAATAAGAGCCATGTGAAAAGAGAAACTGCATACGTTAGAACCATAGTTAAGAAAAACAAGGTAAAGTTCTGATCCTGACTAAAAGAATCAGAAGAACAATACAGCTGAGAGCTAAAAAAGTTACTCTGAGTCGTTCCATTTGGACGGATCATCCCCAAATTTTGTATGAAC